GCCCTTTACTGATTTCAATGATTTTAACGTATTTACTAATTTTTACGATAACGCATAATCCAATAGAGCTTCAAGACGCGCTGAACCATCATAAATGATTACCTCGGCACTCAGCAGGTTTGGATCGATAAAGATTAATGGAACAATTTAACGTGAACAACGTCATTGACAAAATTCCCAAAAGAAAAAAGGACAGAAGACAAATAACACGATCAACCAGATCAGATGACACCCACAGCTCCAGCTCCATAAACCATCTCCATTCATCCCCGTGTATAAAAGCCGTCAGCCACCCGCTCAAAGGGCGTGCTCTGGGGCGCCGTGAACTCCTCTGATTAACAGCTCCTCTCGGCCTCATCCACCACGGCCAGGGCCTACCACACCCGTATCCGACCTCGGCACCCGCCGTCGGCTCTAACCTTTCACACCAACAAACTGCCAATTAAATGCGCGGCCGCATCTGTCCCGGACCGACCAACTGATGCAATGCACGGACCGTCCGACCGTGTCCCAAGCACCGCCGGCCGGCCGCCCACCCTCCCCCGTCCCACCGGGGAGGGTGGGGGGAGGGGAGGGGTGTGATGACGACAGCATCTCGCCGTCGGATCTGCGGCCCGAGAGGATCTCCGGAACCGGCCGCGCGCACCGGAACTAGCCCGATCAATACGGCGCCGCGTTTCCGGTGGAAAAGGTCAGGAGCACGGCCGCGGGCCGCCGCCGAGTCCCGTGACGTCAGCGGACTCTCGTCTTCTCTCGTACGAGAAACGGTCAACTGGCAGGAGTGGTGTCTATTCTAGGTGGTGGCGATCAAAAATGCATCACCAGAGTCGCCGCCGAAGTTCCTCACCGTCCACGCCGGACGTCAGATGTCCAGAGACCTAGCGAGTCTCTTGGTAAACGTAGAGACATCTGGCGGTCAGTTGCAGAGGTGCAGCTTCATGTTTCAACCGCAACAGTCGCTGAACGGCGAACAGTGAAACCGAACATGCTGTGGCCTCCGACCAATGTGAAAGTATTTTTCATTCAAACGGGGGTATATGACATTTGTAGCTGTGGGGGCTCACAGGCGCAATAGGTTAGTCTCTTGTATTAGTCTCTAGGTATTTTCGGCTGTGCCGCCGCCGGGGCACTGATGCTGAGCGCATCCCAAACCTCCAAGTTCAACAGCCATGGTCAATTTGCCCAATTCTCTAAGAGACATTTTACTTTCTCTTAGACATTTTATTTCCCATCATATCGATTAATAATCAACCGAAGAACCGCTTTTCTGTTTAGAGCTAGTCAGTCATGGAACAGCAATATCAACCATAAAAAGTCCCGGATGCCGATCTTCAATTCATACCGAGCCTTTGAAACACATCTAAAACGTTTAGCCAATATCCGCACCAATATATTTACGGTCACCTATGTACACACATGCACGAATCTACACCAACAGATCGCACCACGGCCCCGGTCGTCCCTGCCATCGTCCGGCTCATTTTCGGCTGTTGGGCTGCGGCAGCCTGTCCTTCTTCATGTCCAGCTCGAGGTCAAAGTAGGACATTGGGTTATACCGGTAGTACTCAGGGTTCTTGTAGGTGCCCGCCTTGCTCGCTCCAGGCCCAACTGAAGATGAGATAAGTATAGATGATTTCATCCGGCGGTAAAATTAATGAACGAAGGGATAGCAAAGCCATATCACCACACTTAAGTCACATGTGGTGACTAGTGTTGAGGGGTTAAACGTGTAGAAGCTCCCGCGGTGGTATCCCACAAAAATGAAAGCTTCTTATGTCGTTGGAAACATTTTAGCCGCTATATTGAAATAAAAATGACGCCTAGCAAAATAGTCTACATGAGCTGACACACACAGCTTGAAATATTGACTGCATGGTATTTAAAGGCTTATGAAGACTGAAGTTGGACTAGGCGTCACGGAGCAGTTGGAGACTCACCGGGGGTGTCGTCAGCGGGCGGCGGTGACGCCGTGCCCTTCGAGGCCTGCGCCGGGGGCTGCGTCTGACCCGACATCAGCCGACAGGACAACAGCTGAATGACAAAACGATGTTACTTGGGGAACTAACAATTGTGAGGACGTTGCAATACCCTGAGACAGGCAAACAAGTAGGTACACATGTGGACTGAGACTAGTGGTGCCAGCCTAGTGAGGGAGAAATCGCATAATTATAATCAACTACTTTTTAAAACCAACACCATCAGAAAAATCCTGATTTCAGTTTGAGAAATGAGAAAGAACCTCTCAGAAAAATGTCCTTATTAACCATTCACACCATCCCAGTGAGATGCAAGGACAAGGTACAACATTCAATGTCCTGCAACCAATATGTTTTTTTTTTGCCTGATCATAGGTACTAACCTGGATGTGACGAGATGACAGCCTTGCCGCAAACATTTTGAGAAATTTCTGAAAGAGAGGAAATCAAAATTAGGGAAAATCAAGCAGGAGCCCATCTCACTATTCAATGGCAATGTAAGCATATAGAGCAGGAAAGAAGCAGACTCCTTCATAAATCATAGATGTTACCAGCTTCACAGCTTTTAGCCAGGTGGCAATATAAGATAAAATCACAATTCACATTCAATTGACAAAAAATTGTAATAATTATTTATTTTACCCTTCCTCTTTTAATAAATTTGGCTTAGGTACACATTTGAATGAGTTCAAGGCAAATCTTTGTAAATTGATACTTGAAAATGCTATTTTGAACTCAAACTATGATAAAAGAAACAAACATAACCTGACTAAAATGTCCCAATATAATTTGCTCTTTTTTCATGTATTACACAAATACAAATCTTTCAATCTTACAAATCAAATCAAGGCAAATCTTTGTAAATTGATACTTGAAAATGCTATTTTCAACTCAAACTATGATAAAAGAAACAAACATAACCTGACTAAAATGTCCTGATGTAATTTGCTCTTAACTACGTAACTTATGCATCATAGCCTTCATTTGTCCCAAAGCAAAGGTTTAAAAATGTAAATGGCCGGGTCTAGCTCGACAGGGCCCATACTGGAATTTTCCCATTAAAGGCAATAGTTCACTTTCACAAAATTAGTTTTTTGCAACGGATTCATGACTTTTCATGCTCAAAATGATCACCGAAGAAAATAAAGCCTTGTTATAAAAGATTATTTTCTATATTTCAATGTAGGAAGAGTTCTTCAGTTTTAAAAGAGTGCAAAAGAGGGAAATGACCCCTGCAAGTGAGAATGCAGCAATGAGTGACAAACTGCATTTATCAAAACATCAATTCAGAGCACTGCAACTGTGATCTTGGTACATCGGCCTCTTGTTCAACCAATAAGTAGAAAACAAATTATTTATGAAAGTCACAATAAATCATATACGTCTACCGCCTCCCGTCTTCCTCACCAAAGCAGTGAGGCCTTGGCAGTGAGTTTGTGAGTTCCAAGTTCCAAATTGGTTTCAAATGTCAGCAACTCCTTTTACATGACAGTAAAAAAGTTCTGTCATGTTCGAAAGCCTACATTTGCCGGTCCCTTGACATCATCTAGATGTCTTTTCTGCGGCTTGATTGGCTGTGATAGCATATGACGTCAAATACGAACCACTTATTTGACAGCAGGTAATCATTAACAGTAGAAGCTGGTATGTACAGTGGATCTTATTAGGATCTCCAGACGTAACTAGATGGCGTTGAGCCTTAGTCGAGTCCATGTCAAATTCAAGGAGAGGTCACTACCGAGCTGGGCCCGATTGGGAGGTGGGCGGGGAGGGGGGGGGGGAGCGGGTGGCGAGGTCACGGTGCGGGTGACCTGTCAAACAGCCCCGGCGCGGTGGGGCACTGCCGTAGGCAAATGGCGCACTCCAGCGTTGTTCCATATCGCGGTGGTGGGCCGGGCGGCCGGTTAGCTTGGCAGCTTGGAAGGAAATGAGGCATGGTTTTGCTGTGGCCGGTTCACCTATTGTTACTTATGTATGATGCACCCAAAGTAATGCAAATGTGGCGTTGATAATGCAGCTGGCAATGGAATGCTAGCGAATGCTCCGAGCGCCTAGCTATAAGGATTAAGATTATTTATGTCTCCTGAAATTTTCATTGAATATAATTTCAAGCACTAGAAAGATCGTATTCGTTCGCCAGTTTTTTGACCGGCTGGCGTTTCTTGCGTAGAGCGCCCTTGGGCAAATATTTAGGGATAACGCAGGTGTTTTTTTTCTTTGCCTGGTAAGACTCCTTTAGGGTCAAATCAAGCAGTGGCGGCGGAACACCTTTAATGAAGTGGGGGCACTGCCGACTCTTGGTCCCATTCTTTCCATGCAACGCCCATAGGGCTAATGTTAAAATGCCAAAATCAAACGGGGGCACGGTGCCCCGATCAGACATGTGCATGGATCCGAGAAAATGGATCTGGGATCTGATCCCACGGATCCTGATCTCGGATCCGTCGGGATCATAGATCCAGCTCTGTAATTTCTCGAGAGATCCATAGGGATCACAGATCCGAGTCTCATTTTTTGCTTGAGATCCAGTGAGATCATAGATCCTCACTTATTTTTTGTTACCACATACATCCCAAAAAAGCACTTGTTTCAACTCACAAACGTTCTGTTTTAGTGATTTTATGTAATCGCACGTCATAATCCATAGCTCTGTGTCACTTATTGGCAAAGAAACCCTTTAAAACATGGTTTCAAATGTGGTGCATGGTGGGATCCACTCAGATCATAGATCCATGTTCTTAATTTATCGTCAGATCATATGAGATCATAGATCCAAGATGTATTTTTCACGCCGGATCCGGTGGGATCATAGATCCCAACCTGTACTTTGCTTCGAGATCCACTGAGGTCATAGATCCACCACTCGGATCCATGCACATGTCTGGCCCCGATGCCCCCCCCCCCCCGTTCCGCCGCCACATGAAATCAAGTCGCTAAGAGACGATGAGGAAAAGTGGACGAACGCTACATTTCTGTGCATGAAGTCTCGAGTTAAAAAAAGCTAAAAGTTATTATACGTGTAGGCTAAAAAACAATAAGATCAGTTAATAAAAATATTTGTCCCGAAATTAACTTCTGTTGTGTCTGACCATGATTGCATGTATGACCCCGGTCCAGCCTGGTTCAACTCGGGCCCAACCTGGTTCGGCTCCCCCTTTTTTAATATAAATTTGGCCGGAACCTTTTGGATGGAAGGAATCACAAGGACAGAGTCCCCGCTAAGCCTAGCTTGTTAAGCGTTGACCCTGCCATCTACCCTCCGATCAAGCAATTCCTGGTCTATTGCAGACTATGGTTTTGAGGTTAAGTCTATGTCAAAATGGTCTATGGTTTAGAGTCCAAATTTTAACGTGCGCACATAGCCGCGCACGGCCGGTCCCCTCAGGCCCTCGACTTCGCCTTGCAGCGGCCTGCCACCAACCACAACCATACCCGTCAGGCTCAGGAGGCTAAAAAACGTCAAGCAAACGTCGTGTTTCGAACCCAGACTTGTTGCAACCGGGACGTGCGCCTTCACCACATGGCACATGGAGTCCAACGCTCTACCGACCGAGCTACCGGGACGGACATTTACCTTGGGGTTTCGCCTCGTGACATTGACAGACGTCAGACACTTTGGCCGAACTTTAGCCGAAACACTGAGCAAGCTGCGCAGGGCGATAGGTGCTCGTAGCGTTGAGGTTGGGTAACCTGTGAGCTGAACGCGATGTCGTGAGTTCGAGTCCCACTCCCGGCTCTGGTTTTATCTAGACACAACCAAAATCTTTCCTTCTACTGCAACACAGCTAAGCACGATGACATCTTTCCCCAATATCTTTCCCCAATATCCTCACCAAAAGTCAAAATTATCGCTTATAAACGTTTAGCTAAGTTAATTTTTTTAAAGAAAATATTTTTTGTCATTTGTCTGGAGCCATTTCAACTCTTTTTTCTTTTCTGATTCTTTTCGACCCGATAAAACCCACCAAAACTGAACGTGCCAAATGAAAAAATATCTAACTCAAATAACAGTTTAGAAAAGCCTCATCATGCATCATGAAAAGCATCATGCAACTATCGACTGAAAAGTTGCATGCTATGAATACGTCCTAGATTTCAATTAACATTGTTCAACATTTTGGCTGGAACTGACGCTGCCTCTGGCTTGCCCGTTTGTTTGAGATAATGATTCCCTTCAGTCGCGTTCTTGCCGGTTCCACATGAACAGGATACCACCATACCTACCGGAGTGAACGCGACCGCAACCATCATCCCCTCCCCTCAGCCTCGGCGCAGTGGCGGGCGGCCCTGGGCGGCCCACTCCCGGCGCTACGCACGCCCCATGCGCCGTGATACCGCCTCACTCCCCCTCCCTCCTTCCCCCACAATGACCGGTGACCTCACTTCCCTCGGGATTTGGACTCGCCCTACCCCGACCGTAGCGCCACGTGGTGGCTCTGGAGATCTTAAATAGACCCACTGTACAGAACACATTAGTATTTCAGCAAATGTCACTTGGACGCCAGAATGACTTGCAAAAATCTAGTGCTGAGAAACTAACTCGTTCTTATATGGAGTCGTTTCAAGCCAGGTGCCTACGTAGAGATGCCACAAATTTGCAATTTCATTACCCGCCCCGCCCCGCAGCTACCCCTTGCCCAACCACAACTACCCGCAAGCTGATTTTGGCTGAGCCGAACCCGCGAAAAACCCGCAATTTTGAAAACCTGCTTTTGCAAGCAAAAAATACAGCTGGGTCAATGCTAGAGCTATATAAACCTTACTTGCTTCATTGCTGTGCAGAAAAAGGCAGGAAAACAAATAGTAAGGACTTGAAATTGCTATGCTAAGTCCTCAGGAAGTGCACACTGGATAGTGGAAAATGAATAATGCATCAATACATTTGAAATTCCTTTCTGAAAAGAGTTCAGTAAAATCTTTCTCTCACCTTACCCTTCAGCATTGGCTGAGGATCAAAATTTCTCTCTGGCTCCCTCTCAATGTTAGGCTTCTGGAATGATATTGTTATCAAAATGAATGTTGATACAAAAAGATATGCGATTTCCAGTAAAAAAATAATGACACGGTGAATAATGAGTATTCAGTCAATCTACACATAAAACAAATCATGCAAAATCCCAGCAAAAACCAACTAACCACCGGTATATAGGGCCTTGCTAACCACCAATGAACCACGTATTTTTGGAAACATGCGTCAGAAGCGTCACCAACAGCTGATTGCAAGGAATGTTACAGCGACTAAATTATTGCAGCCGTAGTTAGTGCGAACTTGTTGCGAAAACACCGTTGTATAATGCATATTTATGTGCCATTCAGATATAATTATTTTACACAACAGCTAAAGTTTTACAATTCAGAGGTTAATCATCGGTTAAGAAATAAAGAGACAGTAAATACTAAATTAAATGTAATAATTTTGTAGATGGTCTTGGACGGTAAAGCTCTTTGGCTGGTCCTCTCTCGGCATACAAATGATAAGGACGTAAAAAGACAAAAGAAATAAATGCGACCAGCTACGTGGTTTTGTAACATGTATAACGCATATTTACGTCTGGACAACGAGTTGCGGGGAAAAGTGCTGATTTTGTTGCAGTTTTAGGAGCCGGTGATTAGGCTGGATTTTTGGGTTACTTTTTCGTTCCGATTCATGTATTTCATAGTGTTTGGCTTTTGAATATTTTAGTTCTTTCAGATAAATATTACTTGCCTTACAACTTTTGTAAAAACGTTTCATTTTTTTTATAAGCCGACCGTCAGAGTCCTAAAAATACATCAGCCCTACAATCATTGTAAACAAACAAATGGAGCAATACTTGGATCTGTTCCAAGGCGCTTTTTAAGTTTATCTGGCGGTTTCCGTACTCTTGTACGTCGTTTTGTTGGATGTTTTGAATCCCTTAAGATTGACTTATATCATATTTAAGAAGCATGTGACTGAAAACAATTCGAAGTATCCAGGAGGCTGATAGAGGTCCTGACTCCTGAGCAATATCAATATCAAGTTGAACTTGAAGTTATGAAATTTTGGTTGATAAACGCAAGTTGATCGGGCTCATATATCAGCAAGAAAAAGTAAAATTAAAAGAGCTTATTGGCCGAAAACAAGCTATAATATTGCAGATCTTTGAGCAATAGGTACTGAAGAGCGCGCTGAGCAGGATCATGCCAGAAAATGTTGACTGATGAGCGCATATTGATGTATTGGTATGAATATTGAATGATAACTTACAACAGCAAGATACATTAGTGCTAACTATCAAGTTAAAAATCTAGAATGAATGGACTTTGGCAGCTTTACTATGCTTAGATGCTATGCAGATTGTAATGTGCATCACCAGCATCAGGTACTCAGTGTCTGGCAAATGAAACATGCAATTATTCCATTGCTACTGGAGGAGAAAGCTTGGATCACTAAATCCACTTTATGTTGATTTTGATGTTAATCATTACTGTATTTCTTGAAAAAAGGATTGTTATAAAATTGTCAATGTGACAATCCATGCAACGATGTAATCATATAATGTGTTCATAGTCATTCGTGATAGTGATTGTTGGTCCAATATACAATGGCAAAGCTCTCAGTCTCAGCGTTTCTTCCTGTGGATGGCCAGCAGTGACTCAGAGCTTAGAAGTATTAGTTTTCTTCACAAGGCTGGGATAAAAAGTAGCTGAGGGTAATCTTCCACCAAGGAACTCTACTTTGACATGTTATGAGATGTAGGCACAAGTAGGTAGGTGCTTAGTTCCTCAATAGTCAGCAGTTGTGTAGGTTTAGTCGGGTTAGCTTAGGTTAGGTTATGTTAGTTTTTTAATTTGCCAAGTGTCCATAAAAATGTGACCTGAGCAATGAGCATACCTGAATAACCTGACAGCTGACCTAACTTCAATCATCACACATATTTGCAGACTACCCAAGACCTGCATAGCAGTAGCACCCAGTTATAGGTAGGTACTCACCCTAACTCAATCTTACCTGCTAACCTTCTACTTGCCAATAATTAGCTCACCTTGCCAAGCTGCATCCAGGGAAACAGTCAACTGAGGAACTGGCTCATTGGGTGGCTGGTGTGAGTCTGTGCATTTAAAGTGTTTCTTCTCTGAAGCTGCTCTGCACTGCTGTATGTCATGTTAGATGTTCAGAAAATGTGGGAAATGATTACTAAGCTACTTTAGTGCCTTGTTAATGCTCGAGACATGAACAAGTACAGATCCTGCACTTGCAGGGTACAGCTATGAGTTAGGTGCTAGGTGAGTATGTTATGTGAATGTGATTATGTTCTGTTCCCTGTTTGACCATAGTAAGTATACAAACAAACACAGGGTCACAGTTATATTCAATCTCCACATAAACATACAACAAAAACGGCCTTATGTCCTCACTCCGAACACACCACAAAGAACTTAAGCCTTTACAGGCACAAAAATGCTTTGATTTAAAGGGCAGGTATACAATATATCCTCTGTCCTTCGGGATCTTGCTGCCAAGTTGAGGTACGATGACTGAACTTCAGGATTGATCAACCTTTTCTTCTTAGCCACTGCTTATATACGAGATAGACCAAATGCTTGTTTGTAAACTGCCTTGAAAATTTAATGATCCACCTTCAATTCTGACATGAAGGCACAAATAAAATAGTTCCCTCTCCTTTTGGAATACACAAAGCAAAATATTTAATAACTTCTAGTGGATGGACAAGAGCAATTAGCATTGCTTCCCTCAAGTTAACTTCTGGCACTGATAAATTTATGTTTTAGGGCCTCAGCCTTGGATAAATTACACTGACGCTTATTCGCTTCATATTTTGTAACAAACGCGCTAAAACTGCAATATAACAGCACTATATGCTTCTTGACAAAATGCAAAAGTAGTAAAAATTCAGCCCTGGTGGCATTCATTCTTGGTGGAAACGTAATGACAAAATATTTTGTAGTAACTATTAAATTCCGGCCGAAAACAGTGCACAGTTTAAGAAAGAATCATTCCAATGACGGTCCATTCTTGCGGTCCTGAAATCGCCACTATTTCCGGCCTCTCCAACGCAACTCGTTGTCCAGACGTAAATATGCATGTATAACTGCTATTTTGAGGTATTCAAAAACCAAGACAGAAAAATTGATGGTAAAATTATTATTGCGTCATCAATGACAGCTTTCCATCGCCTCAGAGACCAAAAAATTGACGCAGTCAAATGCCCATCCTTGTCAGAATGTCGGAAGTGCGCCAGTATTGTATTGCGTTGCGTTATGTTTGGGCCGCATGCCAGTCAATATTTTGATTTTTTGTAAGGGCAATTGGTGTGTTATTTTCGTAATATAGGGTAGGACAGAACATAGAGTAGGACTAGGATAGGTAATCAATGAATTTGCATCAAATTTTGTTTAGCTGATAGCTCTTTTTTATGCCGACCAGATGCAAATAAAGTAACATGTGGCATTTGCTCTGATTTTCATCTCATTTTAGTCTGGGTACTTCCATAATGTATATCTAGTGCACACTGCACATAGGCTTCAGTTCAGCTTCCTATAAGTTTGCTTTCAGGCTCTTTTATGTTTTATGGAATGCTTTCATCAGCATTTATTTATGCTTTGTAGTTTGTTGCTTGTACCCTGGTTTGGTCATTGCTAGACTGTGGATGCTATTGCTGGTTGTTTTCAGTTTTGCATTTGAAATGTGCTTCCTTGATATATGTTTATATTTGGTTCTGTCTTAAAAGTTGTTTTGATGAATATTGTATTGCTAACCTGAGCAAATGCACTTGGCATTGTGTTTTGCATCTAAAAAAATAAAAAAATAAAATTTATAGGTTCTAAAATCTGACCGCCAAATACCCGCCACACGACAAGTTTTGCTTCTCGAACCCGCCAAAAACCCTGCGGGTTTTGAAAACCCGCAGAAAGCGGGTTCGCGGGTTCAAAAGTGGCATCTCTAGTGCCTAGTCGACCGTGGTCATTTACAAAGGCGCACACAAGGGGGGGGGGCACACGGGCCCGTGCCCCTCCATTCGAGTTCGGGGGCCCATTTGAGGCGGCCGAAGGCCGCCTCAAATGGGCCCCTAATCCTTAGACCGCCGAAGACCGTGTAAAAATGAGCTGAAATGATAATTATTGAAACGACCGGGAGGGCCCGTCTCGTGCCCCAGCAGGCCCATATGAGTTCATAAAATACCCAGTAGCGCAGCCAATGTGAATGTGGTTAAGTTTCAATGGCCCTCAAAACGCCTCAAAAGGCCCTCAGGTGGTGTCACAGGGCCCCTAGATGGTCTCGAATGGCCCTCATTTAGCGTCAAATGGCCCTCATCTGGTGTGAAGGGCCCTCAGATCACAGATGGCCTCCAAGGGCCCTCAGATTGCCTCAAAGGGCCCTCAGCTGACATCAAACGGACCTCAGAAGGCCTTAACCCGGCACCGCCTGGGCTATTTCCGTACCCACATCAGCCTGGGGGGGGGGTCGGATCCGACCCCCCCCCCCTGTTATCTCGAGAACCAATGGTCGTATCGAGCCCCGCGAGGCGGCGTTCGAAAGGTCTCTACGAGACCTTCCCAAAGCACTCTTAAGATTTTAACCCTCGCCCATGTAGGGGGGGGGGGGTTGGTGCAACCCCCCCCCCTGAGGTTTTTCGGAAATAGTGCAAAAACGGCGGCGCGCAGCGCCGCCAAATTTTGGGTACCTTATGGGGCAAACCTTGCGCATCTTTTGATAAAAAAAATTTGACCGGGTCATGTCAGGTCACGGAGTTATGACGTCACAAAAGGAACAGCCTCCGGCCGGATTTTCACAAACTGAGTGCCAACGCCCGAGGTTTCCTGCCGGTGGTACGGACATCGGTTGATGGATCGTGATGAAACTTCCCATGCATGTTGGGGCAAGTATTGGCTATCATATGGTATAAGAAACTTTACCGGGTCAGGTCAGGTCACGGAGCTATGACGTCACAAGAGGAACAGCGTCCGGTACTATTTTTGAAAAGCGCCCGAACCACTATTTTGCTAATTCTTGTCACCTCAATGGGAAAATGCAGCAATATTAGCTTCTATAGGGAGCAAATGGACCTTCCAAATCCAAAAATACAATCAGATTTCAAAAATTTAAATTTTGATTTTTCGAATTTCTGCCGCCGACTGTGACCTTGCCGACTTCCGGCGCTACCAACGCGCCATTTTTAGAGCTAGGGAAACGAAATACATACCAAACGATAGAGAATTGATCAAGGAACACGATAGTGAAGGTTTCAAGTCGATATCTCCCACCGTTTTGCCGCAATCGCCGCGGAAAGTTGAAAAAAGTCTATTTTTCCGAAAATTTGACCTTTGACCGGTCAAAAGTAGGTCAAATGTTGACCTAGGACCAAAAAATATACCACCAATCGCGAGATCTCGGCGAGAGCAATCCGTTGGTCTTTTCCGCTAAGCTCTACGACGCTCCGTTTTCAAACGCCAAGGGGGGGGGGGGGTCGCACCAACCCCCCCTGCATGGGCGAAGGTGGCAGATCGCCGTTTACGGGCGAGGGTTAAGATTGAGGTCAACTTTCGGGTCAAGGTCAGGTCAAAGGTCAAATTCAGGGGTTTTGCATGATTAGGCTTACGGACAGCGGAATCGATAGCTGCTGCTCGAAACTCACCACAAATGACCTCAAAGACCTAGTGAAGGTACCATGTGCGTATAGGGGTCATACTAAGTACGGGTCAAGGTCAGGTCAGGTCACGAAAGGTCACGGTTTTCACTTTCTGCTACATGGGCGTGCAACACATGTTTTATGGCTTATTTTTCACGCCAAATCCGATGGTAATGGTTATATGTGACCCCAAGTCACTGTGCTGGTGATAAGTGTGCATTGAAAGCATAAAAAATCGTTTATACTAAACGAGGGCTGAGAAAAAAGGTCACTTTTTCAACTTTTTATTTTTGACATAAAAATGCACTTTTCTAGACGAGCTTTGTCCCAGGAATCTAGTGGTGCCATTTTGTTTTACATGCGATGTTCAGAAGTGCCCCTAATTCGCGAAAATGCTTATGACGTCACCATGCCCTATGCATGTTGGAGCTACTTTTTACAATTTGGGGGTCAAAAATCAAGATAGAAAGTTGAAATTTGGGACGTCTAATGTTCTAATAGAGCTCTATAACATATATTCCGTTTTTTTGGAAATTCTCAAAATTTTGGATTTTATTAGCTGTTTTCCAAAAAATATAGTTTTTTGAATTTTTAGGGATGAAAAACGCATTTTATGGAAAATCCGAGATAGCCATTTTAAAGAACTCGTTGAGCTGCGTCTTTTCATGTCCTTAATTTGCAATGTGCTTAAAACCTCGATTTTTGGCGATTTTTTAAACATTTACCATTTTTTGACTGAAAACGCCATGTAGTTACATCACTAAAATCGATATATCTCAGAAATTTTTGAAAAGTTTTTCTTAAAAATTGCACAGGAGACGTCAAATTGATGGGGGAGAAGGTATGCGAAGTTTCAAGTTGATAGCGCAAGCGGTTCATGAGTTATTCAAGAAAAACGGAGGGGGGGGGGGTCGGATCCGACCCCCCCAAGGCGGTCGCGGGTTGGGCGTCAAAGGACCCTGAGCTGGCGTCAGAGGGCCCCCAGCTGATGTCAGCACGCCCTGAGCTGGCGGCAAACGGCCCTCCTTAGGCCTTAGAGCCTAGAGGACCCTTAGCTGGTGTCAGAGGGCCCTCAGCTGGTGTCAGAGGGCCCTCAGCTGGCGTCAAATGAAAATCAGAGGACCTCAAACGGTCCTCAGCTGGAGTCCAACGGTCCACAGCTGGCGTCAAGCGGCCATCAAAAGGCCTCAAAGGGCCCTTAACTGACGCTAAACGGCCCTCAAAAGGCCTGAAAGGGCCCTCAGCTGGTGTCAAAGGGCTCTTACCTGACGTCAATAGCGGCTTGGCAATAACGGCCCTGAGAAACCTTGCCGGCCCCTGGTTATCTAAGGGACTCCTGATCACTTGGAGTCAGTGGCATAGCCAAGGAGCAAGGGGCACGTGCCTGTTCTCGAGTTTAGTGTTCCCTCGGACCCGAGGGGCCCTGCGGCGCCAATTGGTGGCAGAGGGTCCGCGCTGGCCGCCCCTCAACTCGGAATGACACCACATGACCACAGGGCTTGTGAGAACACCTCATGGCCTCCTAAGTCCTATGTAGCCACACTTGTCTCCAGAAAGGCCCAATGCCGGTTTCTGAGAGACCTTGCCGGCCTCTGAGGGCCCTTGCCGGCCAATAAGGGATCAGCTGCAATGGCCCCACACCCGTCTGTGATAGCCCCACTCGGCCCACACCAGCGTTTCTGAGGGCCCCCACACAACGGCACCTGAGAGGCCCCTCAGCCGTCTCTAAGGGCCCTACACCAGTGCCTCTTAAAGGCTTACATCGGCGGCTCTGAGGACCCCTTTCCACATTTTCTGAGGGCCCTACGCTAACGCCTCTGACGGCCACGTACCATTGACTCTGAGGGCCTCTTATCAGCCTAGCCTCTGAATATCCTTTGCCGGTCAATGAAGGGCCACTTTCAGGCCACTTTCAGGGCCACACACATGCCAATGATGGCTCCACCAGTGTCTCTAAGCCCTAAGGCCCCGCAACGGCGGCTGTTAGGACCCCACACCAGCGCATCTGACGACCTTTCACCTGCACCTCTGAGCGCACCAAACACCGGTGACTGAGACTCTGAGGAACTCGCTCGCTTTGCTCGCTCGTAAAATACCGTGCATATTAAGCACACTCATCGGGCAAAAATCACATTTTTACCTGCCAATTTTCCACATTTTCCCAGGGCTAAGACCGTTTTAGAGAGGCCCGTCTGCAAGTGGGACCGGACCGACTGTGCCCCCTCTCATCGAAAGGTCCTGGATACGTCCCTGCCTGGGCTGACCCCGGGCCCCCGGGGGACTCGCGGGCCCCTTCGAGAGCAGGTGACCCCCTCCTGGGCAAAATCCTGGGAATCGACGTACGTCGTACATAGTTCTGTTGATTTGATTTGTCGGTTGAACATTGAATTTACTAGTTAGAACGCTGGATCTCTGGTTTGTGATCTCGCATCCGGTATCAGTTGTAATGACTTTTCATGTCAATATGCCTGATTATAGTGAAAATGATGTAAATATAACTGTACTAACAATGCTCATCACAGCCATCAATCATACATGTTCTCGATATGCCTACATAAAGATGCGATTATACCTACGTGAAAAGGGAGTGTTGTCCCCGCTCCTATACACATTCGGGGCAATAAGTGACCGGCCCTTGTTTCTAGCCAGCCGAGGCCGGTCGGCTGGCCGGCAGCCAGGCGCTGCCCGGGGTCGATTTCTGAGGACCTTGCAACTACTTGTTTATTAATTGAATGTTTTACGTGAAAATAATTATATTTACCGACTTTGAATCGCAATTGAATAAAACGTACCAGCGTAAAACGTAAATGTTTGGAAATTAAACAGGTCCCGAAATAATTGTTTTACTATGCCTTGGCAAAAGCTGAAGCCTCAAGTTAACCGAAATAAAAGCACATATAGGCCATAACGCTTTTGGGGGGGGGCCTTCGGCATGGGGGGCCCACTTCGCAGGTCGTGCCCCCCCCCCCATTCAAAAATCCTGTGTGCGCGCCTGGTCATTTACTCAATACTCATGCAACCAGCAACTGACGCACCAATAATAAATATTCAAAAAAATAATCATCAATCAGTATTTAGTGTTCAAAACTCGGTGGTTAAAAGGTGCTCAGCTTTACCTATAATAAGGAGAGTTCGAGTTTTGATTAGGTGAATAGTGATGCTAGATGTACGGCTGGAACGGATTCTGATATGGGATGGGAACTGTCTTTTTTTTGCGGAATAAAACATACCTAAGCGCTCTGCTGATTTTTTCTGCTACTTTACGAGCCCTTCATCCAAATGGTCCAGGACTCCAGATGACACTCATGAAGCCGCGGCCCGTTGCGCCAGGGTCAGTGTCAATGTTGGTCAAATGCAGGGTCAATGTTGGTATATAGGGCCTTGGGTACGGTAGGTTTTGCACTTTTACATTTCCGGTTATATCACAGAAACTAATCGACCTACGATGAAGCCATTTTACACGATCATGGCCGGCTTGTAAACCAACAAGTCGATCGCATCTTCAACACTTCAAAGCTTAAGACGATGAAGATATAGCCTGAAGTACACTAAATTTTATAGGTGTAAAACCTACCGCTAAAACCCGTGAGACCTGTGCCTACCTATACATAGGTACCTACCTATTGCCGAGCAGCCTTACGCAGCCCTGCCAGGCTCAGACAACGGACACCGTGAACAGCCCAGCACACCTTCGGGTGCATAGCAGCACACCTTTCACAGCACACCTTCTTTCAAACGACGCACCGCACCTTCGGCAGGAGGCAGCACACGTCCAGTTAGGACCTCGCAGGAAGACGACCGATGCGATCGATCAGGTATACCTGATACCTATAGGTACCTACTGGCTGGCCATCGTCCAGTTAACCGGCCCGCAACCGGTGAACATTCACCGCCTCATTTCTGTCCACGCCGGAGACCAGAGGCCTCTTGCACCAAACTACCTAGCTAAGTAAAATCGAAAAACCGGTTTCAGAATAAACTAATCTGACGGTGGTAAATTTGTTTGCAATAGCCCAATACATAATCCTACATGTGCTTGCTAAATTTTGCACGCAAATTGTTACATTTGAGACTTGGACTGGGTATACGATGCAAAATAATCCAAGCATTGGTGCAAGAGGATTTTGGTGCAAGAGGCCTCAGCTCGAGATTCGTGGTTCCCCAGATTCGCCGTATGAAGGAGTTCGGCCATGTCCCGCGCCACGCCGTTGCGAGTGTGACCGTCCTGGTTGTGTGCACGGCATCCGTTGTCACGAGAACGCCCGCCGCGAGCTGGCACCTTTTCTTCCTTTAGTACCTAGAGGTCGGCTTCTTCCCTTCCGTCCGCCACCTCATTTCCGGGGATGCCACAGTAAGCCGGCACCCGCTGCAGAGTGATTTTCTCTCCGTACCATTCGACTCGGACATGAACACGCGATGTATAAAATCTCGCTGCGGTCTGTGAAGTGCGACCATTGTTGGCGAGCTGCCAAAAATCAAAATGCGAGCAGCCGCCATGCCGCAATTGAACCGACCTAACACGTCACCAGTTGATCTGAGACATTGAAATCGTGCACCATTTGCTCGTTGTCGTGCCGGCCAGCAAGCTTTAAAAGCAAAAGTGCTTCTTTCCGGAAGCACTTAAAGCAAAACGGAGAGGGGTGGACTCGCCAGGTGAAAACCAATATGTCCGGCATGAGGGTAGACCGTTCTGATCCTACGGTGTGCACTGTGCACTGCTTATCATTGCCATCAACTGTTTATTGACCAGTCCTTTATCAGTTTGGACAGGAAGTCTTGGAGCATCGTGCCGTGCCACGGTGCTGATATGAGACATAAGTGCAGCGTTTCGCATTGACACAAGAGCCACTTATCAGAGAGCTCAGCAAACAGCACCGGCGGGACGCAGCGACCGGCACAGTGCTGGGTCAGAACTGGTGTGGTGGTTGCGCCGTGGTGTGCACCGTGGGCAAACTGCCAACGATCGAGACGAGGGTAAGGCTGTCAGGAAAGGGCCCGGCTAAACGGCCCCTCCCCTCGAAACGGCCCCTCCTCCTGTCCGTTTCCGTAGATATCTCCTAAACGGCTGCAGATATCGCCACCGAACTCTCAGGACCCCTCTAGGCATCCATTTTACACATTGTGATTAAAAATGAATTTAATCACAATGTAAATGAATGTAAAAATGAATGTTTTTTTTTTGTGAATCTGGTTGATTGATAGATCGAATTTTTTTTTTGACATATTTTGTGCTGTAATATGATACGAAAATGGAAATGATATAAATAGAATTTTTGGATAATAAAAACGATCGATTTTTCTTTTAGATATAATAGCAAAAAAAAAATCTCAAACGTTTTTTAAATTAAAAAACGGAATATATGATAGTAACTACCGTCGTCTATCCACATACCAAATTTCAGATCGATATCTCCTTTTTTGGCCAAGTTATAGCGAAAAAAACTGTTCAAAATTGGTGACGTCAAATTGCAATTATAGACAACGTAGCGCCAAACAAAGACCATCATTAGACTCCCCGTGACGAGCTGCATCGAATCAATACCCAGTTTATGCAAAAATATCAACTTTGAAATTTGACCTAATTTGACCTGACCTTGACCTGACCTTCACCAGAACATAACCCAAACTGGCCCCAAAGGCTGCCTGACCCACATAATCGCATTTTTCATGTAAAATGGAACACACAACATGTATGACACGACACTTTCATATTGCGACCCTGAGTGATCTGACCTAGCTGTGACCTGACGGCTGACATGGTATCAATGACCTCAGATAGCAAAATATATGTTTGACGAATTTACTCGATTTCACAACACATTTCTTGAAATGCCTGTAAACGGTCAAAATGCGACTTTTGACCTGACCTGTGGCGTCATCGATTGGACCGATGTCAATCCGAGAGCCCTGGTGGGGCTATCGAACGGTAACCGGACAAAAAGTCAAAAGGAATAAAGTCAAAAGACAAAAAGTCAAAAGCAAAAAGTCAAAATGTGCAAAAGTCAAAAACGCAAAAAGTCAAATGACAAAAAGTCAAAAATGCAAAAAGTCAAAAATGAAAAAGTCAAAAGGATAAAAGTCAAAACGGAAAAAAGTCAAAAGACAAAAAGTCAAAAGCAAAAAGTCAAAACGTGTAAAAGTCAAAAGTCAAAAAGTCAAAAATGCAAAATGTCAAAAGGATAAAAGTCAAAACGGAAAAAAGTCAAAAGACAAAAAGTCAAAACGAGTAAAAGTCAAAAGACAAAAAAGTCAAAACGGAATAAAGTCAAAAGACAAAAAGTCAAAAGCAAAAAGTCAAAACGGGCAAAAGTCAAAAAATGAAAAAAGTATAAAACAGAAAAGTCGAAGTCAAAGTCTGAAATAAAAAGTCAAAAGGTAAAAGTCGAAGCATCGATCTTTTCATCTTTTGAGAAATATTATACAGCGCAACGTACCCTACCCACTGAAGTTGTAAGGAACATGTGAGTACGCGCGTATACTCGGCGCGCGGGCCGAGCAGTGCGCGCCGCCGCGCCAGCAGCGCTCGCGTGGCGTCCGTGGTGCGCGGAGCACCGGGCGGCGGCAGCCCCTCCCCCATGGGAGAGGGTGAAAAGCAGTGCCTCCTCTAAGCAGCTTTGACTGGGGGGCCCGATCACGGGCAATGACTAAGGTAACCCCTACCAAAAACGTCTAAGACTAAAAAATGACTAAGGTACCCCTCAGTGACCAGTTTGGAGGATGACTGCGGGGGCTGCAGCTCCCGCAGTTAACATGTTAGAGGAGGCATGGGTGTCGTTTTGTATAGGCATGGTAGGGCCCGAGCTCTAACAATAATTTTGGAAATTTAACATTATGCCTATGGCGTTGCGTGGAAAGAATCGCTTTGAATTGGCAAAAATTTACATTAGAGCCCTAATACCAATAATTTTCGGAAAGTGTCGCCCCTGAGAGGAGGCCCTGGACTCTCTTGACGACTCTTGACTTTTGACTATGTCTTGTTTATCTTATTTCCATTTGAATTTAACCGTTTTCACTTCAAGTGGCTTTGACTAAGGTTTATTTTTTTTTTGTTTCGTTTTACAATAAGACAATACAAATTATTAATATTTGACTTTTTTCTTTTGACTTTCTACATATTTGATTTTTGACTTGTTTCCATTTGACTTTTATTAATTTGGCCTTTTGCGGTTTTGACTTTTTGCTTTTGGCTTATGGTTTTTGACTTTAAGGAATTTTGACATTGATCATTTGACTTTTTGTCTTATGGTTTTTTAGATATATGACTTTTTACTTTTGACTTTTTCTTATTTGACTTTTTCCATTTGATTTTTATCATTTTGACTTTTTGCCGTTTTTTCACTTTTTGTCTTTTGACTTTTCGCGTTTTTTGACTTTTTGCCATTTGACTTTTTGCTTTTGACTTTTTGCGTTTTTGACTTTTCGGCATTTTGACTTTTTGCCATTTGACTTTTTTGCTTTTGACTTTTTTCGTTTTTGACATTTCGCAATTTTGACTTTTTGCCATTTGACTTTTTGCTTTTGACTTTTTGCGTTTTTGACTTTTTGCCATTTTGACTTTTCGCCATTTGACTTTTTGCTTTTGACTTTTTGCGTTTTTGACTTTTCGCCATTTTGACTTTTTGCCATTTGACTTTTTGCATTTTTGACTTTTGGACGTTTTGACTTTTTGCCATTTGACTTTTTGTCTTTTGACTTTTATCCGTTTTGACTTTTATTCATTTGACTTTTTTTCCATTTGACTTTTATCCATTTTGACTTTTTGCATTTGACTTTTTGTCTTTTGACATTTTGTCTTTTGACTTTTTGTCCTGGAATCCTATCGAACGCCGTATGAATTTTGAAAATCGTCTGTTACATTTCCGAAATCTTAGGGGGGGGGGCGAAACGCTCCCCCTACGGGTGGTAGGGTCCACCGATAGCCCTACGGGGCGCAAGTTAGTTAACCCGCGCCCCGCTGGGCTATTCAGCCATACGCGTGCTGCTGGGGGGGGGGGGGGGGGGCAGATTCTGCCCCTTGTCTAACTTCTGAACCGATGTTCGTAGAAAGACGGGAAAACGGCAATCGAAAGCTCTCATCAAGGATGATCTTAAGAGCCGATTTTTTTGTTAAATAGGTAGGTCAGAGGTCAGGTCAAGGTCAGGTCAAGGGTACCTAGGTACCTACAAAACGCAAGTTTCTACAGTATCGGCCTTGCACCGTAGTTACCGAAGAATGGACTGAGACTGATTGCCCAAAACGTGTTCTTAGGCTACCAAGACAATATTCGTTGCTGGTACAATATCATGCAAAGGTCAAGGTCAGGTTAGGTCACCAAAAACGAAATATAGAAAGGGCATGTGCGACACATGTTTTATGGGTCATTTTATTCATATAATTCAATAGGCACACTCAATAAGTGATATGGACCACATTTGGATGAATTTCAGGTCGAGGCCAGGTCAAGGTCAGGTCAAGTGAGGTCAAATTTTGAGGTTGGTTGTTAAGACCTAAAAAGGTGTCTAACTGACGCAGTTTTTTATGCCGAATCGAATGGTGCTATTTTTGTTTCCGTACGAGGTCTAGAACGTCCAAAAAATCATTTTCAAAAATGTTGTGTATCGTGACGTCATAAAAGTTTGAATAACTCCCACATTTTTGAACCGATTCTTCTAAAAATTGGTATGTAGGTGCACATAGTCATAGACCACTTCTCTGACATTTAATCCGGTTTTTCGATATACTCAAAATTTTGGATTGTATAATGATTTTCCCAAAAGTCAGTTTTTGAAGAAAAAATTGGGCCAAAATCCAAAATTTTCAAAAAACAGAGATAGCCATTTGATAGACAAAGTTGAATCACGTATAACCTTGGCTTTTTGTTACGTCTTGATTTCTTTAAAAAATGAAGATGTTAGGCGGCGTTTGAAGTTTTGCCGTTTATGAGGCGAAAAGGTCGTAACGTGACACCACTTAAACGTTATTTTATCAAAAAGCACTTCCGACGGATTTCGCTCAAATTTTCAGGGAATGTGTCAAATTGATGTATGATAAAGTACTGAAGCGTAACGCGTTTAGAAGTTATTGGCGAAAAACGGGAGGCGGGGGGGGGGGCAGATTCTGCTCCCTCTAGCGGGGCGCGGGTTAACTTTCGTCGGAGACGGAGACACGCTCAAAGATCAGAACGCATGTGAATATCACACACTGGATAGGAAAATTGCACCTGTGAATCCTTTTATGGGTCATGTCAGGTCATGAACGTAACTAACGTTTTTTCTTTTGACAATATGTTACTTTAGAGAAACATGCTAGAGCGCTTAAAACACCATGAATGTGTTCAGCTCAACAACACAAAACCAATGATATGCAGCATGACGTTTTCTCTGACCTTGATTTGAGGTCAAATTTTCAAGCTGACCCTTCCAGGTCAACTAAGGTTCATAACTAGTTAGATCCTATAGCTCATTTGACACGTCTCGACGAGGTAAACGCGATGCCGGTAAAATCAGTGTAATACATACAAGCTTGGAATCAAAAGTTAAGTTATTAGAGAAAAACATTTTCCACAGTAACGTTCGATTTTAGTTATTGCCCTCTGGAGGCTAAACCGTTGACCTTGGGTCGAATATGAGATCAATGCTCAGAAAGGCCTTTGAAAGAGCTATTGAAGACGCTTTTCCGCGGCGTTGTAGCTCTATTGGTTCCCGACTTATGCGCCGCTTTGTGAAAAGTTGTCAGAATCGGGAACAAAAAGTCGCGATAACCTTAACCCGCGCCCCGTAGGGCTACCGGCGGACCCTACCACCCGTAGGGGGGGGGGGACGTTTCGCCCCCCCCAAGATCTCGGAAATTTAACGGCCGATTTTCAAAATTCAAACGGCGTTCGATAGCCCCACCGAAGAACTACCTTGTGACCAAATTTCATTGACCTAGGTCAAACCGATGACGTCACAGGGCAGGTCAAAGGTCAGATTTTCACCGTTCACAGGCATTTCAAGAAATGTGTTGTGAAATCGAGCAAATTGGTAATTTATTGGAAACCATCGATGGCACATCGTTCGTCAAACACATACTTCGCTATCAGAGATCACTGATACCAGGGCCCAATCTTATCAAATGCAGTGAATGCGCATTCACGGCATTTGGTAACATTCAGAACTAGTCCACATTCACTAATTCATTGGTTTAGGCAACATTCCATAACCATTAACGCTATCAAAATCATTGGACAAGATTAGCTGGATGTAAATAAAAAGGATATATTTGATATCAGTGCCGTAAACTCCAGCCAGTGCTGCCAAATCCTATTTACGGCATTGGTAAGATTGGGCCCAGGTCAGGTCACAGAGGTCAGGTCACTGGGGGTCACAATATGAAAGTGTCGCGTGATACATGGTTTATTGTCCATTTTACATGACAAATGCGATTATGTGGGTTAGGCAGCCTTTTGGGCCAGCCTAGGTCACGTTTTGGTAAAGGTCAGGTCAAGGTCAGGTCAAAATAGGTCAAATTTCAAAGTTGATATTTTTGCATAAAATGGGTATCGATTCGATGCAGCTGGTCACGGGGAGTCTAATGGTGGTCTTTGTTTTGCTCTACGAGGTCTAGAATTGCCAAAAATTGAGTTTGAAAATTTGACGTAATCACTTTTGAAAGTTTTTACGCTATAACTTTGCCAAAAAACAAGGTATCAATCTGAAATTTGTTATATAGATAGAAGACGGTTGGTACTATCTTATATATTCCGTTTTTTCGAAACTCATTTTTTTATTGTTTGGCTAATATATATGTAAAAACAATGCATTTTTGATTTTTGGGGTCGAGACTCAAAAATTTCAAGAATCCGAGATAGCAGTTTTGTAGTTCTGTCAATTCTACACCTTTTATAACTTGATCATTTTTCTGTATCTTCAAAGCTGTAGGCCTGAGAGCTCTTCTCACGAAGGTCTTTTTTCGGTCGAATATGGCAGAACATGACGTCATTCTGACGTCATTTGTGGCTAACCTATCATAGCCTCTGGAAAAATTTTTGATCGCAATGTGTAAAATTGATTTCCGGAGGAGTCCTGAAAGTTTGGTGGCGATATCTCCAGCCGTTTAGGAGATATCGACGGAAAAGGACAGGGGGCCGTTTCGCCCCCCCCCCCTACGGGGCGCGGGTTAATTTTGGTGACCTCTAGTGATCTCAGTGATGACCTGATCGAAAAATGACCTACGTAATTCTGAAAGATCTTATAGCGAGCTATCTAATGCTTTTTACGGCGTCTTTCTAGCTTGCTTACTTTCCGAGATAATGTGTTATGGGCTATGGCCAAAAAGGACCCCCCCCCCCCACCACCACCACCATGGTGAAGTTGGCTGAAACTGAGAGGTCCACCCGGGCGCGGGTTAACGCTAGAAAGAAGATTTTGTTTGATGTTTTGGAAATTTCGAGATAGCCATTTTGTTCGTCATACCTTTTATACCTACGGTCAAGTTTTTGAGTCGCTAAGTTGAAACCCTGATTTTCCGCGATTTTCTCCGTGAAAAACTTTTTCGACGGAAAATCGCCGAACATGACCTCAGTTTGACCTCTATAGCTCGTGACCTGAGATGACCTGGGACCTAATTTTTTCAAGGGTTGTGTATAACTGATGTCCAGAGATGTACTTAAAGGTCCAAGTCGAAATTCGCAGCCGTTTCTGAGTTATCTCCGAAAAACCACAGGGGGCCCTTTGCCCCCCCCCCCCAACGGGTCGCGGGTTAACACAAGACAAAACCCATCGTCATTCGCAATTACTTTCGATTCAAGCTGACCGTCCACCTACCCAGCCAACACTCTAGTGCAGCTTCGTATCCGTAGCAGCATAATCCTCCGAGGGTAGCCGTTTTAGCGACTAGTTGGCCTGTCTCTTGCGCCGTTGCTCTTCCGTGCCAACGGCAACGGGATTGGAGCAGTTGCTGCTTGCGGCGCACCATTTGGTGGTCGACATAGCCCAATTTCTCCCTCGCTTCCTCTCATCTCATTACCAACGGTTTCAGGTGTTCAAAATCGTGGCTTCATTCGACCGTCTGCAGGAGCAAGAGGACATGGAGAGACAGAAAGGGTGAGAGGGAAGGGAGCAGGGGTGATGGAGAACAGGGGGCACAGGCAGAAGGGGTGATGGTCAGCAGCTGGTTGAGTTGACAGGGACAGCAGGGGCGACAGGGCAACAGCGGCAGCGGGGTTTCCGTCTGTCGGAATGTCACTGAGTGCCTGTAGTAGAGATATGCGATCCATGCGATAGCAGGGTTTCCGTATGTAGGAGTCTCACTGGGTGCCTGTAGAGATATGCGATCCATGATGTCATCACCTGACGTCACGCTGATGTTTCATCTTCCTCCAGTGACGATGGGGATGTGGCGCTGCCGGCCAACGCTTCCAGCAAGTGTGGCGACATCGATTCTCGTGACCTCGTGAGGACCCATGCTGCAGCGGGGGCTGAGGAGACGGTGCCGGTTGGGGGTGACTTACGGGAGTCAGCTCGGAGCGAGGCCACCATTTATGACCTGTGTTTGGAACTGCTGAAGCTGGTGCTGAGCATGATGGACTGCTGGGAAATGTTCCGCGCCAGACGGGGTGAGCGTTTTGACGTGACGACTGGCGAACTTTGTGGTTCACGATACGAATTATGATCAACCTGCGTAAGCCATGGTCACGAATACGATACAGTTATTACTATGGATACCCTCTGGCGTTATGCATGTCGTGGTGTTTCTCAGCTCTTCAAAAGGTCTCAAGTAAGTATGTGATTGTGATTAGTCTGGTCCAGGGTTCATCAAGGGTACGGTGTAGAGTTCGACACTCTTTATGCCCTGAGTGCACCAGCCATGATGTCAAAAGGTAGCGCGTCTCTTGTTCATTTCCTTTCCGACACTGCCGACAGTCTGTCAGAGTTGGCGGCTGGTCATCGACGAGATCGTCGACGACTGTCGGCGTGAGCGTGCCGTCCGGCTGTCGCGGGGTTTCGCCCCTGCGCCGGCCACCTCTCTCCAGCTGGTGGTGATGGCCAGGGAGCTGCCCAAGCTGACCCAGCTGAAGGCGCCGACCGCCCAGACCAACACCGACCTCCGACTGGTCGGTGAGTGACTACCACGTACTCATTCATGACACACTGCACATGCAGTGTTGTATTCGAGCAGTCACCTTCTATTTCCTATACCCCTGCCCACGTGAGACCACTAGTTTACTGACGACGGTGTTGTATTCCAGCGGGAGCCTGCCACGCTCTGGAGAAAGCCAACCTGTGCGGCTTCAAACTGAGTGTCCCTGCCCTGCGCCGGCTGGCGCTCGCCAACGCCTCCAGTCTGCGTGAGCTGACGCTGCCGGCCGGCATCAGCGACGAGCAGCTGGAGGCGCTGCTGGAGCCGCTGAAGGTTCTGGAGCTGCTCGATCTGAGCCCACCCGTGGACAGCTCCGGCAAGTGGCTGCGGCTGCTGCCGCAGTCACTGAAAAGACTGCTCATCACTGGTGAGAAAAGGTGCGCTGCCTGGCCACTCATGCCATGCTTAATGCTGAGATACTGACGGCTCCTGTGCTCGAGTCTGACGATGTTTCTGCATGAGATACTAACTTTTCTCGGTTACTGACTCTGTTCCTGTTTTAGATGGATACTGACGCTACTCCTGCATTAGTTAGATACTCGTACTGACGCTGCTTCTCTGCTGGATACTGACTGCCCTTCGGCTTCCTCTGCAGGATCAGGAATGACGAAGCCACCGTGCCTTCACTGGTTTGAGGAACTGAATGTCTGTGTACGGCTGGCAACCGACGCACTCCTGGACCAGCTGACTGTTCTTTCGGGCCGGAAACGCAGCAGAGTTACCGACTTGAGCATACATGGTTAGCAGCGCCATCACGGATAAACTGTCCATTACTCCATTGAAGATCAGCTCTGCGGTGATTAGAGTTCGACGAACCTTGATGACATTGCTTTGGTGCATGATAATTGAAAGACTAAACGGAATGTGCTTGGTCGGGACACATAAGTGCTTGTCTTTGTGTGTTTGTCTCTCATCAATCTTCAACTTTTAACTGTTTCGAATTAAATTCACTGTCATTTAGCACCTCTCTGTTTCTGTACGTGTTTTGCAGAGTCACCGTCCGTGACACCGGAAGCCCTGAGCCGTATTCTGGCTGCCTTTCCCAAGTTAAGTACCGTTACTTTGGACGTAGCTGGCGCCACCTCAGACGTTGCACTAGAAGCCCTCCACGGCTACCGTCGGCTGTACGCGCTAACTCTCAGAGACCCCCGGCCCGTGACGGATATACCTGCCCTGACTCCGTCGGAGGTGGCAGCGGTCAGCAGGTCAGTCGGCCGGCGAGTATCGGTGCGTGTTGACTGTTTGATAGACTACTCAGATGTTCATGTATGTGTCTGTGACCTGTGCCTGTGAGTTGTGACCTGTATCTCGATCGGCTCACCATATTCTGTTTTGGTCTCACCTGCTGCAGGCTGGCAGCGACCTGTCGGAAATTGTACATCCTCTTCCTAACTTCATCACCAGAAAACTGCCAGACCGTCCTGAGTGCCCTGCTTGAGACAGACTTGGGCCTGACTGACAGTGGACGTCGTCGCACCATCTCTCTCAAGGTCCCTGGTAGGTACCGGAGCCGTTCAGCGCCTCATGAACTCTAGTAAACGCAGGTCACTCTAGGTAAGCGTAAATGCTAAGTCTTTAGTCTGAGTTAGCCCTTATCCTCACTACCAAGGGATGTGTGTGTAACCATTAATGTTACCTCATAACCTGTGACCTCACTATCAAGGGCTGTGCATAGCCATTTATACCTGGCACGCTCTACTTTCAGAGCCTGTGTATCGGGAGCTCCGTCTGCCGCCCCATGGAAGTCAAATCTCTGTGGGCTGCATCTGAAACCTATTAGTTCTTCCTAGGGCTCGCCTGCGCCGGTGCCAGCGGCGGTTGTGGGACCAGGCACCAGATGGCAGCAGCTGGTCCAGTCGGCAGGGCCGCAGTGGCCTAGTATTAAGGTCAACTGAGTGACGGTCGGGTCGGAAAGGTCATGCTGCTTATCAGTCTATCAGTTTTGTTGCCATTGTGCACTTTCATTGCTCTTTTTAAGTCTGGTATCGCCGAAGACTGTACGTTTTCATGAGCTCGCTTTTTGTGATACACGATTCAATGCTTTATTATCAATAAAATTAAAGCTGATTGGGTCTTGAAGGGAACCACGACCACAAGTCCCCTTTACGGCCACCGAATAGTTACGTCTTAGGATTTATCACTCGTTAAACATGCCATACCTATGCATGGGCAAATAAAAGGGGCCCCGACATACCACACCATGGAAAAGGTGACTTAGTTTATTGCAACAAACTCTCAGTCCAGCGTAAAACATTTCCAGTTCCAATATAGTTCTATAATACAACAAACGACAAAAGTGCAGCGGCGCGACCAATCTCTCTCCGTAGCGCCGCCAAACTCGCCCGACAATACACGATACAGCTAGCGAAAACTCGGGCGGAGGGAAGGAAGGAGGGAGGACGAAAGGCACCTCTCCGACGCGTCCGCACGCAGGCCGCGTCTCCGGCTGTGGCGACCAGCGGCTCCCTGCTCAGGTTCTGTGTGTCGGAGAGCGCCGGTCAGCGCCGGTGACCAGCCCCCGAACAGTGACGGTCGGACCGCAGCCGCCGCGCGGCGCCTCCTATTGCACAACGCACCGGGTACCGCGACAGAACAACTGTACTGTGCAACAGTGCAACACTGCCGGGCCGACAACCAGCCAACAGCTCCGACCCACGCCCGCTCCGCACCATGGAATACAATTACACACCGTACACAGCGCGCCATTCGACACGGCACCAGCCGACGTCACAACGCATATCGGACGTCACACACGACATTTCTGACGTCACACCAAGAACCACACATCCGTATATACATACACACGCCATCCTGCGGACCCTCGCTCCTCTGCGCCGTGATCACAGCCGTTCAGTGCGCGTAGCAGAGGAAGCCTCGCACGGCACCGGGCAAAGGGAGCTGTTCCACCTGCCTACCTGAGGTGACCCGGCGCACTGCTCGGCGCGCCAGGTGGCTCAGGGGAGGAATGTACTTGGGTACGGTGAGGAACGTTACCGCGCCCCGGCTCGTGCTGTCGAAGGAGTGGGGAGGGGGAGGGAGGTCAGGGTCTACGACAGACACAATGAACGGCGAGTTGAACGATTGATCGGTGAACATATTGAGCGAGAGACACTACGGCTAGTGAGGGTTTCGATTACGCTCGTAGAAAATATCACTCATGATGATGGCTAGGATTAGGTTGGCTTTGTTCAAGCAGAGTAGTTTCTTTCAGTTTAAATCACTTTGAAGTTATTCCCAAATCTATATAAGTTTCTTCGCACCAGACACCTATTTGCAGACAAAACAGCTCACCAATCTTTTTGTTTTTGAGCGTATCATTTGTAGCATACCCCATCCAAAAAGCTGCCAGGCAGTATTGTAAGCCCGGCCGACACAAAATTCTAACATCTTTTCTACTCCACGCCCACCATCCGGTCATCCACTCACCCAACGGCGATGACCGTGCCTGCTGCGTTGTAAGCACAGGAGGTGGGAATCTCCTCCTCACTGGAGCGAGGGACGGGAACAGAGAGCGCCGGCTCCTCCCAGCTCTGCCACGGGTGCCAGAACCGCACCAGGCTGCGGGCGGGTCAGAGGTCAGCGAGGGGTCAGTGGGGTCAGTGGAGTCAGCGAGGGGTCAGTGGGGTCAGAGAGGGGTCAGCGAGGTCAGCGATGGTCACGTTGGGGTATGATGGGAGGTCACAGACATGAGCTTATAAATAAGGCACGTAACATGAATTTTTAAATATGTTATGCAAGGAAAGATAATACGTGTTTGTCCCGTGTTGATCGGACGTCTAGAAGCTTATATATTGTAAACATTATCTCACGAATCTATTGAAGTCCTACAACGGACGTGCATCAAATAAAATGAAGCAACTTATCGATCGTTAGCTTCCATTATAGCTAGACTTCTCTTGCATCTTCGAACCATTAGTATCAAATAATAACCAGCAATACACAGCCCTACCGGTAGGTCGGAAGACCACAGCAGCACCCCGACTGCCACACGGTCGGGTCAGGTCAGGTCAGGTCGCAGCAGAGGAGTCACTCACCCGTCCTCGCAGACTGTGGCCGTCTGGCACATGGCCCTAGACATGGCAGCCGCCTTGACCCAGGCCCCGTTCTCTCCGGCGGCGAAGATGAGCCGCGGGGGAGGGTTCAGGTGGAACAGCGTCCGCAGCGGTTTGCCTGTGGGAGCGGACAGTGTGAGTGGGGAGGTGCGCACTCGGCGGGTCAGAGTCGGAAGGGAGTTACTCGGAGTTGAAGTGAGTCAGGGGATAGTGTGAATGAGCAGAAATAATAACTCGCAGAATACGTATTGAACTTGATAATTTCGGACGAAATGAAAAAAGATGAAGCAACTAATTGCTGCAAAATAGCAGAACGACACAACAGATTAAGCGATGGCGAAATTAAGATATATCGTTCAATATTTTAGAATGATACTGAATAATGAATACGCATTAGCATTTTATTGCCGCGGCTTCTTGAATTCAACATATTTATGCTAACCGAAGCGCTTTCAAAATCTTGCTTCCGTGAAACACCATTAGCAGTCACATTACAGTATTATCGTGTCGGTCAGTCCGACTGATTGGCGGTCAACACCGCAGAAAAAGACAGAGAGACAGACAGACAGACAGTAGATGAGTTAGAGTATTACCATCAGGTCCTGCCGAGGCGCCTCAAGCCACCGCAGGTCTGAAAGGAAACTCATACGAATAGGGTGTCTCGAATACCCTGGGTTCCAAGGAACCGCCCCAAAACGACACATATGTGAAAAAGCGACAACACAGTACACACACAAGCAATCATACAATTCATTCACGCAAACTAAGAACAGAATTAACGTTTTAACTTCACCGAATAGCCCGTTTCAAAAACCCGTTAAAGTTACCGATCCTAGGTACTGTTAAATTCGTCACGCACGATACTACAATTATCATGATTATGGTAACGTCCCTTCTGAGTTATGTGAAAGCTGCGAATTTCCAGAATCTAGATAACCTAAATGCCTAAAACGTTCCCATTTCATCTGCGCTTGAATGACATTTATCGATATAAAATCGCATCAAGTCTCAAATACCGTGGCCTTAGTGTGCGCCTCGAGAAAGGAATGCCATCGTACAATCCTCATGAACCACACACCACACCATATCATCCATACGAACTGCGCAGAACACCCACCCTCCCCTCACAGTTCGCAGACATGCCGCTCGTCCAAGGACAATGCCATAAATAGCGGAGAACGCGGCTCGGCCCAAGGCAGGCTCGGCCGACCTGCGCTCTGGCGGCCAGAGTTGTAAGCTCACCTGTCTCTGCGTCCCACACGATGGCGCGCGTGTCGTGCGAGGAGGAAACTATGAGGCTGCCGTCGCAGGTGAAAGAGCATGACGTCACCTCGTTGTAGTGGCCCTCCAGCACCATCTGTCGCTTGTAATCCACCATATCGAACACGTAGAGCTGGAACAGAACAATAGATGCATGGAACGGGTCTTACGGAACGGGTACACCCTGACGGGAAATTTGACCTTGCCCAGCACCGTTAAATCTATAAGGCGTCGATGTCGAAATGTCGGAATATCGAAACCCGTTTCCCACTCTTCCTTGAAAATTGTCTGGTCTCATGTCGCCGAACCCTCACCAGCTGCACATAACCAACAGTGGCTGTCAGGCCCTCAAAGTGATACAGGCTACGTCACAGAGCTCATAACGTCATCACATCACCCGGAACAACTGATAACAAAAGCACGTAACATTCGCAACATTCGAGTGGCCGCCTCTTCACACCCCGCACTTACGTGCACAATGGCACTCTCAGTGAGAGCCTCTTCAATGAGAGAATGAACGTTAGCCAAACATCGGCCTTAGAACTGATCACGCAGACCCAGTACCCACGCACTACACAGTACCCACAATACATTCAGCACACTATAAAAATCACACAGCCTTCCTAAATCAAAGCACTCGCGTTGACCGTAAACGACTAACAAGCATACATCTATTTTTCCATAATCAATTAAGTTACCTGCGCGTACATACCACTACCACCACCCACCAAACCTCGCCTCCTTTACCCATCCATCCACCCTTCCCTTCCACATGCTCACCAGCTTGCTCTGCCCGCAGGCCACCAGCTGTTTGCCGTCGGGGCGCCACGAGCAGCGGAGCACAGGCGAGCGGCAGTCGGACAGCGTCTTGAACATGTTACCGTCATCGGTGAGGTCCCACGCCTGCCGGGAGAACAGAGAGGTGAGGTGAGGGGAAGATGGGAGAAGCTGGGGGAGGAGAGGTGTCCATCGGGTGTAGACATATGTGGGAGTGTGTACAAATACTGCGCTAGCCGAATAAGCTGCAAATGATATGATGTACCGCGTCTGAGCCTATCTCGAAAACGTCCCGAGGAATGGATAAAATAACCAAGCAGAGCTGATACCAACAAGCATGACGGCCAATAGATTGGCAGCTCACGACTCCGGAAAACATCTAACCACGCATAACGCAAGAAGTAATAACTATATTATTCGCAATCACATAGACGGTTATTTTCACCAAACCTACAAAGTACAAACTCGCAAACGCTAAACCCGCCAAATGCCAACGAGAAGCACTTGAGAAACGATAACAGAGACACGAGTTCGCCAAGAATGTTCATAACACCTGTGCCTGCCAGTGTCCCTCCTCTCCCCATCTCTCCTCCCCTCCTCCCACTCGCCGGACCCGAGGTGCCGCCGGCCGGCTCATACCGGAAATATCCAGATCTTCGCAGCACCGGAGGCCAGACAGAGGCACCTCACGGCGCCAGCGAGCGAGCCCCGGGCCATGCAACCTTTCTCCCCACGACAGCGCAGTTGAACGTTCGCGGACGTTGGGCCATGTGACTTCGAACTAACAGCGGTGGGAAGACCGGCAGCCGGCGGTGTTATGGCACGTGGCACGTGCCGCACCACGTCGCGTTAGTGAACGCCGCCGCTGCGCCATTGCTCGTCACGGGGTCCAGATAACGCCCCGCCCCCCGCCTCGGGGCGATGTAGGGATGGGGTACAGGAGGGTTCGGTGCAGGAGGGTTCGGTACAGGAGGGTTC